CCCCAAAACCCCAAAACCCCAAAACCCCAAAACCCCTTAAGAGATACTCCATATTGAAAGTTAGAGGAGCGAACAAATGGTATTAGTATTGATCCCCATCTTTTCTCACAGAAATTCGTGTGCATAAATTTGGTTTTCCTCATATGCTAGCTCATAAGCAGTGTCACCATCATGATTTCTGATTTCAACAAGTTTCTTTTCTCCTAACTCCCAGAGATACTCGAGAATTCCCATATGCGACCAAAGAGAAGCAATGTGAAGTGGAGTGTTCCCTTCATCATCCTGAGTGTATATTAAATCTTTCTGATGCTCACACAAAAGTTTCAAGACATCCATAAAGTCTCTTTCAGCACATATGTGTAGTGAATTTGACCCATTTACTCATAAAACTCCTGGATTTGCTCCATTATCCAGCAAGTACTTAGCAACAGAATGGTTTCCTTTGTATCATGCCATGTACAACGGAGTACATCCTTCATGATCAGGCTGATTAACATCAAGGCTGATTGGAGGTGATAACAAATACTCCAGTCACTTTAAGGATTCTTCACCCTTGGTTGTCGAACTGACTTCTCAAGCTTTGATCAAAACAGATCCTGTGTTGCAAACATGCTTGACAATATGTGACGACTCTGATTTTCTGATCTGCTTATCAAAATTCACGATCGTTTCAAGGAGATCAACAGAATTTTTGTTAAAAATACAGTAAATAGGAGTCCATCCAACCTTATTTTCTTGATCTAGAAGCTCCAGAAAGACCTGTGGGTCACTATCACAAAGATCTTGACAGAACTGCTTGATGGTCTCAACATCTGAAGCCTTGAACAGCAAATGGAGGAAGTTATCTTCATGATTCGACAACTTCATAGAGTCCTTCATCGTAAATTTAGACTTCAAATGGCTCTTATATTGGTCTGGGTTTTTGCCAAGATCTTCCAGAAATTCTTCAGTATAGTAAAACACTGAAGGATCTTCTGCAGATTGGAAGATTTCTTTACTATCCTCCTTCATAAATCTATAACAAAAAGTCTGAGGCTGACTTCCCCAAGCCCATTCATATTCCATTAATAAAAAGTCTCTAAGCAGGTTTCTGGATATATCTTTGCTGATTTTTTAAGAATTTTTAACAGAGATTTACTTGGGGACTTCCCTCATGCTAAAAGAGTATTTAAGGGGCTCTGAAGGAGGGAAAGAAGGTCAGGGTAGGGTGATAAGGGTGGGCGTAGTAGGGGTTGAAGAAAATGGGGGTAAAGAGAGGGAATTTTTTAGAGGGAGGGTTGTTTTTGGGGTAAAAAGATCTTACTTTTCAGCACTAGCTTCCATAATTTCAATCTTATTATTAAGGAAAGGGGTTTTGGGGTTTTGGGGTTTTGGGG